GGTTCTACATTGTTGTTGGCTATTTTCAGTCTACAATTAATAAAAAATAAAATATTAGAAAAAAAGGTAGGTGCCACAGTTTCTCGCGCAGGTAAATATTATTGCTTAACATATGTATGTACTTACCGTGCCAACGCATTGAGCATAAAATCACACCACAAACCACGCAAATCTGTGTCATTGAAGTACTGTCCCCAGCACTCTAGATTCACCTCATCGCCGCCAAGGTGAAAATAATCTGTCGGACCGGTAGCATTCAATAGCTCCTCATAGAGGCGCTGCAGTACCAGGTAGGTGTTATTATTTTTAGGATTCAGTTGCCCACAAGGCGGTTCACCACAATAGAAACTCCAAGGCTGTTGATTTATACATAAACTCAGTTCGCCGAGGCCACGTTTCGGTCCCCATTCCCAACCGTTACCAGCGTGCGCAGGCGCATCGATTTCAGGCAACACCTGTACGCCATGTAGTCGGGCAAATGCCGCCACATCGCGCACATCCTCAGGTGTGTAGGTTTCATGCTCGGAGTAGGCGCCATGAGCCGCCATCTCTGGGAAATATTTGGACACATAAGGAAAACTTTGCGTATCGGTTATGTGCCAATGAAAGCGATTAAGTTTCGCATGTGACATGCCGACGATGGTACGTTTAATGGCCTCAACTGAGAAATAGTGCCGTGAAGTATCCAACATAAGGCCGCGATAGCGAAATCTTGGTGTGTCAATAATAATAGCCTTTGATAGTATGCGTAAAAGATTGTCTTCGTCGTCGTACCAAATCAATTGCTGTAGCGTGGATAAGGCGTGTCGGGCGCCAAAGAATGAGTTTGCTGTGATGTGGACGTTAATGGTGCGACGCTCATCTGGAAGTTTAAAGGCGGTTGTTAGTTAGAAGGTGAGTAAAATTTTAGGAAAAGAAGATTGCTACAAAATAAAACTAGTAATCGTATGGGAAGGTGAAGGTCACCCCATGACTGTAATTTATACGATGAAGATGATATAGCTCTTAAGGAGCTACGTATATTATACGTCTTGGTGGATTTAAAAAAAATTAAAATTTTAATCTTTAATAACGAAACTAAAATTACAGTCACTTACGTGCAACGGAAAGCTTATAACTCTCATCGGTGTCCAAGCTTAGATTTATTTCGCCAGATTTATGCACTTCCACCTGCACCAGCAGCGTATCAATGTCACAGTGGCGACGGGTGTTGAAAACATTACTCAAAATCGCCGCTGGTGCCATATTTTCACCCAAACTATTGCCCAACGAACGACCAATATCGACATGTCGCCTCGCGCGCTGATGATGGAATGCGACTGCCGCCAGCTGCTCACTGCCACCACCGACAGCAACATCATCAACTATGTCTCGCCGCGCACGTTTATGACGTTGCTGCTGTTGTGGTCTCTCCGGACTTTGAGATCGCACGCCAGTATTAGCATCAGTAGCCGAATCCCGGCCACCAGTACCGCCACCACCGCCGCCGCCGCCGCCCGCGCCATCTGAGCTTTCATCTGCACCGGGTAGTCGTTGTATGCGACGCAGATCGCTTAGGAAATAAGCAAACGCTTGCTTAAATTGCGTTTCGACAACGCTGTGCGGTGTATCCATGCGCAGTTGCACATCTTCCATGGTGAATTTCAATGACACTGAACTAATGGCAGTTTTTATAGTTGGATGCGGCCAAATATTGACTTCGCCGCAAGTCATGGCACACGTCATGAAGGGTATGCGACGATCGGTGGAAACGCCACCACCATCTTTGGTGGGATACGAATGTCGTACGCAACGCTCGTTCTCACACTTGTATGTCCAGAGCTTTTCGTCAGGACTGCAGGTAAGAGAAAATGGAGAAAAGAGAGTGAGAGATACAATTTTAATTACAGGAAGGTATGTATGTAGATAACTGTAACTCACATTGGCGGTCGCTTGTTAACATCAGCTCGGCGTTTCATCGACTTCTCCACTATGAAGGCTTGCGGTTTTATGCCATCTTGATTCCAATATAAAACCATTAGTATGAATACCGTTGCCGTCAGCAGCATGAGCAATACGCGACGCAATGACACAGTTAAGGCCATTTTCAGCATGTGACGAAACCTGGAAGAGAATGAAGTTGGATTAGGTTTTTTTTTTTTTTTTTTTTAGAGAGAACAATGCGTTTATCTTATTTACTAAATAAAATAAATGTGAAAACATTTTATCGATCGCTTAAATTTCCGTTATTTGAGTCTTGAAAATTGGACATAAATAATAATTTGAATATAGTTTGTGATGTTAACTAAAATAAAATTAATCCTCTTTTTAATGCACTTTGCACCAGAAGTTGAGTTTAAAATCTTGGTGGTGCTTTGCTGCGTCTTTAACGACGGTGACAATCAGGGCACATGAATTATGTGAATGGGATGAAAAGTAGATATAAACACACATAATTAGCCAACAAGAAGAGGTAGAACAAAACGGCGAAATTCACTACACAGACACTTTTCTGAATAGCAATGGAAAACGTATCTACGCCGTACACCGTATAGAATGTGGCAATCATTATTCACGCCTTACATGCTTTTTTGAAAATAATAATATATAATTATGCGTAAATATGTAAACAAGTGCACATAAGCGAAATTACAAATATGTAAAGACATCTGCTTATTAGGGTGACCCACCAAATAAAAAGAAATTTGAGTTTCTCGCAACCGCTGTAAAAATGGGCAAGTGAAAGTTTGAAGGCTTTGAACTATGAAATTCGAGAAAATAACGTGTATCTAGTAAAAACTTAAAGAATAAATCAGCGATCAGACGAATTGTACATTTGTAAAGATTTGTATATTTTTGCAGCCACAGCTCAACAAAAAGTTTCCATGCAACCCCACTTTGTAACTGCCAAAATGTACAGAACCAAAAGTGAGAGGTTTTAGCAGCCAAAGGCGAAACAATTACAAAATTCAACCCTAAGTTTCAATGAAATGGCAGCTCCGGCACACAGAAAAAAAAAAAACATTCCTAAAAACTTTAAGACAGTCCTAAAACAGGAAAATTTCCCATGAATAACTTCGAAAAGTCTTGAATAAGGCAAGAAACATTTCGAAAAATATTAAAAGGCTACGAAAACCCCTTACGAATCTTAAAATTCGCTAAAATCCCGAAAAATTATAATTATGCATACGAAAAAAAAATTATAAAAGATTACAAAAAATCGTCTTTAAAATAGCAAAAAAATAGCTTTTAAAAAAATTATAAAAAATTAAAAAAAATCATCTTTAAAATAGCAAAAAAATAGCTTCTAAATTTTAATGTTTATTTTTTTAGACAAACGTATGTAGTAGGAGCAAAACTGTGGTATAAAAAATGTATTAAAGATAAAAAACCTGTTTAAACAAACATTTTCTTTTACCTATTTTTTAAATTTTTTAATTCTTTTATTTTGTTTCTTTTTTTGAAAATAAATCGTTTTAAACAATAATAATTGTTTAATATATTTCTTTTCCAATTTTTTTTTAAGGCCTCGGAAGGTTCCGTAAAAACCACGAAAAATTATCAGGATTAATTTCATATTTTTAGCGGTTATTTTCTATTACACAAATTTCAGAAAAATTTTTTATTTTTTTTTTTGTGTCGAGTCCCGAAAACAGACGAAAAATTGGGTTTGGTCAGGAAGCTGTACGGAAAGTTGTCAAAAAATCTTGGAAAATCCTGAACAGCCTCGAAACAGAATCCAGGAAATTTCAAAAAGTCTCCAACAATTACGAAATAAGCTTAAAATGCAAATATAGTTATCACTAATTAAGTAAATTTCAGACGAAAATCGAAATGTGCCGAACAAAACAGGAAAACTCTCACAAAATCCCGCATGGGCCCCAAAGCTTGCGAAAAGTTCAGAGCGAATCTTAAACAAAATCTCGGCAAGTCACAAAGCTAGAATAGTGTCCAAAAATATCGAAAAAACATTACGAATCATTCAAAGTTTTACCAATACTTAAACATTAAAAAACGTAATTTAACGATAATTTTCTACTAAAAAAATATCATTAAAAAAAATGCTTTTAACTTCGCCCTAAAAATAAAACGCAAGTTACTAATATTGCACACAATATTAAAACCCATTAGCTACAAATTTTTAAAGAATGTTAGAGAATACTCATAGTAATACTTTCGAGAAAACATTACGGTATTCAATCAACTTTTTCTCGGTATTCATATCAAAACTTTTAACGTTATAGGTATTATAGTGTTTTCTATACAATTCTATATCCATGTCTTATCGCTATCGATATGATACTGATATTTTTATCGTAATCGATATTGTAATAATTTGTATGTGGTTAATGTAGTTATCGATACAGTTACCTTTTCGACATTTGTATAGCTATCGATAAGTATCGTTATCGTTATCATACACATATTACATATTGTCATCGTTATCGAAATTTTCATCATTATCGATGATGATATTTTCATCATTATCGTTCTATGTAGTCCAGCCCTTAACAAAATTTTTGAATATCATCGCTGTGATACAATATAAACATAAACTTCAGAGATAAAATTAACTAAAAATAATAAAAACTTTTAGATGCCGCGCATATTTTATAGGCTTCAGCGTCTTACCCCATATTTCACGGACTTTTACACAGGTTTTCACTATTTAAAGTAATTTGTATTTCAGACCGAAATTTTTTAAACTAGAAAACGTTTTCGGCTGTGCAAACTATGTAGAGCGCGCTGTAAAATTTTTAACAAAGTTCAATACAAAAATTCGGAGCTCAAGTAAAAACTTTGGCAAAACATTGAATTCAGCAGGCTTATTGAAACACTTTTATTTTCACTGTTTTTTAAATGATTTTAGCCAAACACAAGGTTCTTTGTAGCAAAAAACAACAAAAGCGTCTATTCAACCAGACACACAAATCTTTGACATTTCTGGCGTTGCGTTTGTCTGCCACCAAAAAACACGCGGCTGCAAACATTTCACTCGATTGCCACTACTACACTTAACACCCACCGCATTCGAACAAAAAAGGCAACAACAACTACTAGATAATAAAAAACAACACTTTAGTAGCCATTTAAAGTCAAAAGTATACAATGAAGGATATTCTCTGCTGTTTTTTTCTTTTCTTTAACAAACGCATATTCACTTCATCATCCATCAGCTCCACTAGCGCGCACTATTCCATGTGTTTCGAGTGAGTCCTTGCCGCTGATTGTGTGGCACGAACGAGTGCGCGCCTAAGTTAACTTTGTTTTACACCATCGACCCAACGGCAGCGGCAACGGCAGCGTCAGCACAACGATGCCAGTCAGTGCTTGTCAGACATCGCGTGTAACAAAATTACTAGCACGCCAAAACACCAAATAGCTGGCATATTCATTCACACATACAAATGTACCAAATGCTAAAATACGAGCGCAATTCAAAAACAACTAAATAAAAAAAAAAAAATCGAACAAGTGTGAGAGTCAAAAGGCCAAATACATGCATACAACCAAGTGCCGTGTGTGAAAGGCCAAATGGAATTTGAAGCAAAAAACAAAAAAAAAGAGGCTCGCAGGCGCAATTGAAAGTTTTAATGGGGCACGAAGTGTGGAATGTTGCCACAGGCGCTCTAAAACACCAGTAACAGGCTATCAGAAAGGCAGAACCAAATGCCAATAGCATCAGCTAAAAAGCCACACACACAAGAATGTTGACGCGCTGTGATTGTACATACATATGTATGTGTCTATGCAGTTTTCAATGGCGGTGAGTGTCAGTAGTAGAGGAGTTTAGTCACTTTTACTACAGTTTGTCCACACGTACTAATGATGTTGCTGTTGTTAAAACGCTCATTTGACAAAGCTAGTGCAGAGATACTTCTTCTATGAGGGGTATTCACCAAATTGATCAAGTAACCTGGCAGTCGGGCAGAAGAGCAGATGAGCTCAAGCAACAACTTTGACACTATTCGTTGATATGAGCTAATCAGCCCATTTGCCCGAATGTCAGGTCACTTGCACAATTTGGTGAATAACCTATTGATAAATATTTAGAACACAACCGAGCAAATCAATTTCGGAAAGAGCATTCGCTTTGTAAAAGTTTTTCGATTTTACGTCCTTGAGCTAGAAGATTCAATGATTAACATTAATCTTCATATCGACGCCTCCAAACCATACTACGCTAAGTCTGGCAAGGTCTAAGGTTTGGAGGCGTCGATATTATCTACTAATTCAATGCATTTGAATATCGTTATCTTTAACCTTTAATCTTTAATCTCAATCTCAGCCTTTACTTTAACCTTATTCTCATCATCCTTCTCACCGTCATCTTTATTCATCTCTTTATACTTATCCTTACTTTTTTCTTTATCTTTATATCCGTATTCTCTTGTCCTAATCCTTTTACCCTTGTCCTCATTACTCATTTTACTATCCTCCTTATACTTTAATCACAATGCTCTTATCATTATCCTTATTCTTATTTTTATCCTTACCCAAAATGTATCCATATAAGGACAATATGTTTTTATCCTTATCCGCATTTTTATTTTTGTCGTTATATTTATTCCTATTCTTATTTGTAACTTTATATATATTTATGTCTTTTTATCATCCTTATTTTTAACCTAATTCAAATTCTTAGTTTTGTCCTTACCTAAATATGTTTTATGCTTAATTCTATTTTTACCATATTTATGCATACTCAAAATTTCCTTTCCTTCATATTTATTTTTCTTTTAGTCCTAATCTTTAACTTTATCTATATCCACAGATTTATCTTCACTTTTGTTTAATCCTTATTATTTTTCCATGCGTATCCTTATTTTCATTTTTCATTATTTATTTTTCCTTATTATCATTTTTGTTATCCTTATCCTTTGCTATCCTTATACTCATGTATATCCATATTCGTATTTTTATTCTTATCCTTGCTTTTAGTTTGATTTTTATCCTTATACTTATCTTAATTCTAACCTTTGCTTTTATCCTCATGCTTCTTTTGATCCTTGTCATTATATTTTCCTAATCCATTTATATCCTGCTTTTTATACCTATCTTTACTTTTATCCTTAACCTTACTTTGAACCTCATTCTTAACTCATTCTTTTGTCATTGTTTTTATCCGTATCCTTATTTTTATTTTTATCCTTATTCAAATTCTCATTTTTGTCCTTATCAATATTTTTTTCTTATCCCAATTTTTATTTTAACCTTTATATTTATCATTATCTACATTTTAATTTTGATCTTAATTTTTCTTTTAGTCCTAACCTTAATCCTTAGTCCTTAATCTTATTCTTAATATATTCTAATCCTTTTTCCATCCCTATCATTATTTTCATGATTACAATTATTTTTATCCTTATCCTTTGTTATCCTTATCCTTATTTATATTCATATTCGTATTTTTATATTTATCCTTGTTTTTGTGCTTATCCCCCTCTTTATCCTTATCCTTATTTTTATCCTTATTCATGTATTTATTTTTTTCATTACTATTCTTATATTTATTTTTATCCACATTTGTATCCTTGTGTTTATCCATATCCCTCCTCTTACTTAATTCTTAATATTTACCTATCTTTGTTTTTATCCTTATTATTATTTTTATCCTTATCCTCAATTTTATCCTTATACTAATTTTTGTACTTGTCCTTATTTTTATCCTTATCCCAGATGGTATCCCTATTCTTACAAATGTATACACATATAGAGCTATGTCCATATTTATTATACTTATGTTTATACCAAAATTTCGACTAAAAAGGAATCGCCGTACAATACAGAAAGTGCTACATACATACGTACATACATACATATGTACATATGCACGTTTCTCATGTAAGTAGTTAAA